AGATGCTGATCTACCCTAAATAAGCAATGAAGCAAAAGGAGTTTGTGGGTTAACTACATATATCCAGAGTTGATACTAATAAATAAAGAGATTTATGGGAAGTATTAGCAGATGCAATCAGTAGGTTACAAGCAGAAGCGACTTCAGTATTACGAATTGTCATCCAAAATCGTATAGTTCTGGATTTCCTCTTAGCTAGCCAAGGAGATGTTTATGTTCTCATTAATTCTAGCAGTTGCACTTTTATTGATCAACAGGATAAGGTTCTTGCTGATGTCTAGGTAATCTCAAACCAGTCTGCCAATTTTCATGCTATTGCACAAACTGATGCTTCCTTACCATCCTTTTTCAATATCTGGCACTCTCTCCCCAATTGGCTACCCAGTTTTGGGTGGTTAAAATTGCTAATTGTTATGATCATATTTTTGGGGACTGATTGGACTCACGGTATGGTGCTACTGTATATGCAGTGTTTTCCTTAGTGCTCCTCTGTTCTTAAAGGATTGTTTCCAAAAAGGGATGATGCACACACACACATGGTTCTAAACTTCTACACTCCTAACCATGATCCCAATTATTACTTATGCTTCCAACACCCCCAAAAAGCGACACATCAGTATCTTCACTATGAGTTGGTACAGAGCAGAGGTCTTCAAACTTGGCCCTTTTATGACTTGTGGACTTCTGGGAGTTGAAGTCCACAAGTCATAAAAGGGCCAAGCTTGAAGACCCCTGGTACAGAGTGTTACAGGGGGAAATGATGGGAGTAGCTTAAAGCCATTTGGGAAAGTTTATTCTTCTGTTAGGCAGACAGTTAAAATTGCAAGTAGTTGCCTCACTATGGGGGTCACGAAAATTCATCATCAGTATAGTCAAAATCATGCCCAGAGGCAGGGAGCTTAGATAATGAAGCACACTCCCCAATGAAAATATAATTGCCTAGTGATGTTATGCAGGGAGTTGTTTATTTGCATTGACCGATAATAATTAAAGCTGTATAACTTCCTTGCCTGAAACTGTCTAAATATGCTGTAAAATTGCAAACTTGTGCAATTGATTTGTGGCATCTGCCCCAAGTTTATCTCTTTGGAATAAAAGAAGAGTTTCTGGCTTCCACTATTTGTGTGTGTTTCATTGGCTAATCACACCAGGTGAACAAAGCCAGTGTTGTTTGGGCCAATAAAGAGAATGGAAATCCTACTTTTAGAAACAGACCACCAGAAGTGGTGTGTTAACTTAATCCATTTCTTTTTTTCCCTCCAAAGCTGAGGGAGTATTTTTTCTTTATTAAATTTAAAATCCTATCCTGGATGCAGATTTTATATCATAGACCTACATCATCATCTCTGCTATTTTACTAGTGTTATATGGATGAGTCCAAAACTCAAACCATTCCAAGAAATCTACCGATTGTGTCATCAAGTTTTTGTATTTCTGCTTTTGTACTACTAAAAGAGAGAGAGGCGCACTAAATTGGGTAGGCTGTAGTACAGCAGGAACAGAGGAAAATAATCCTTCAACCTTTGGTAGAGGGCTTCTTCCTGAGAGGAGCACCATTCAAGGAAGGTCTCTCTGCCAACTGACTGATTATGTTGACCCTGAGCAACCACATAGATTTTCTCCATGAAAACTTTCTTCATCAAGATTATCCCAGTTGGCTTATTTCATTGTAGGGCATTTGGAAGGAAGATGAGTGCCTATGAAAAGCTACTAACCCTATATTAATGTTCTCACTGTGAGAATGTAGCATACAACATCTATGCACTCATTGATTTATTACAAGCTCAGGAGAAGCATGTGTTAGCTATTACCCCCACCCTCCACAGCACATCAGTGCTTCAGAGCACAGGCCTTAGCAACATATCAGTAAAAGTTTTATCATGTCAAATAAAGTTCTCTCATGCCCATAAACAATACTAGAATCAGCGAGGGAAGAGGTCGTTTAGGCCATCAAATCAGACTTCCTGCTAAGTGCAGGAATCCAAATGGAAACCTCTCAGACAGTCTGATTATTAACAAGAAAACAAACAGAAGGGTATGATTTTGCTCACACAGACCTCCTTGTTCTCTAAGCCCCAAGAATGAATGGATGGATTACAAAACAGGACACAGCCTCCCTTTTCAGGGCTTAATACTTAGAATGAGAGGTCTGTGAGATTTGTATCCCAGACATCTGAAATAGAAGAACTTGGTTTTTTTTAAAGCATCTGTTCCTAGTTTTAACAGGTTCTATTTCCTATCTAGCTTTATTTCAGAAAATGTTTTCCTGCTACATGAAATCCATTTCCTAAGGAGATCCATTGTCTGTATAATCTAATCCTTGAAAAGATCTTTAAGCTGTCAGCGGCTTCTTCTCTGTGCTAAAACAGTCTGTTCCCTAGACACTATTCACAGGAGATGTTTAAATTACCTTTATTGAATGCCATGTTTTTCCTTAGTGGCATAGCTTCTGCTTTGGTAAAGGGCTAGTCTGGGCTGCAAGAGAGCGCAACTTTTCTAGAATTTACACCTTGTGGGGATCCTCACCATTATTTGGTAGCATGGGAAGAGGTGTATTTTCTGGAGAAGAAGTCAGATACAGGTCTGTGTGTGCTATAAAAACAAATGGCATATCCACCCAAAAGCAAGCTATTTGTCACATGCAAGAATTAAAAGCTTTTCCCTTAGGGAAATCTTGCTTTCAAAATGTTGATCAGTAAGTATTAAGAGCTGGAGGAAGCTTAAAGATATATTTTAATGCTTCTTTGGACCGTAGGTAATGCATTCTGCCACACCACCATTCGTTGCATTTTTCAAACCATTCCCAATGCCTTTCCAATCCCTCCTGGGATTCTCCCATTTCGTCCTCACCATTCCTGAATTCTGAACATATTTAGCAAGGCTTTGCTCTGGAGTTCACAGGGATATCCTTAGCAAATACCAGGCAGCTACGGCAGTCCATGTTCTGCCTCCACAACATGCCAGTTGTGAAGTTATCCCACCCTGGACTGAGCTTCCCGAGGTCCATGAATTAAAAAAAGACCTTCTGTTCCATCACAAGGAGACAAAGTTTGAATTCATCCGGAGCAAGTGTAGGAAACTCTGTGTGGTATCCCAGCAAATCCCAATTCAAAGCTGGCTATTTCTTGAGCTGGACTAAATGAAATCGAGGTAGGAAGGTGGACAGGCCAGTCTTGTCCAGTCAAAATGAATTACCACACAGACAGGCTGATCTCAGTGAAACTCATGTTTTCTAATGCAAGGGAAGAAGGAAAAAATGGTTTTTCCAAGGGTGTCAAGGAAACAGAGTCTTGGGGATTTTGCAGTGTATTGCCGCTGGCGTGCTCTTGATATCTTGATATGATGGATGGGGGTGCAAACATGTGATATTGATATAGATATAGGAATATTACTTTCCGTCTTGCATGTGCCACTGCTGAGATTTTAAATCGATTGCAAATTAGAAAGTCAGCCAACTAATCAGACGTTCACAAAATTACTACGTGAGGATCAAAAAGACGACAGATTGCCTAGAAATCATATCAGAACAGCACTTAGTTATTTGCGAGGTTAAGATTTTTGTTTTTATCCTGTTGGTGTTCCTACATTCTTTTTACAAATTTTAAAATTAATAACAGAAAAAGATATTTTTATTTACTTTTATTTACTTATCAAATTTATATAGCCACCCATCTCACCAAAAGTGACTTATTGGGTGCAAATACATCACCCACAATGTTTTCAGTAACCATAAAATATTTTGCCATAGAATTTCCCTTTGTTTTGCTCAATTTCATTTTTATTTTTCAAGCTGCCATTCTTTATTTCTCAAAATACAAATATTTAGTGTCCTATGACTGATGTGATCTTGAATTACAAATCACCCAGTCAAATTTACTATTCTAAGGATGAATCTGTCATGCATGATACATCTGTATCCACTCCACTTCCTCTCTTCTTCTGCCCCTGTATGAGGTCAACTGCTTCTTGAGGTCAAGCACACATAGACTGAATAAATAAAGCATTCACACTTTATAAACAGGCTGGTCTCCATTTGCTGATAAATGGTGAAAAGGGGAAGGAAAAGTCCATTGGCTATTGAATTCTATACCATATATATAAAATAAGGCCCAGTGAATTTACATCTCAGTAGATAAGCACAATATTGCATCCTCTGTGATGATAATGTTCCTATTGGACATTGAAATTAAACAGGACACCAGAGCCCAGGTAGGTATTGCATGAGCAGAGGTCATCTCTGTGATGGTGCTGTGCTCTATATGGGATTACATTTTTACCATAATTGAAAGAGAGGAGAAAGATTAATGAATCTTCAAAGCAAATTGGTTGAGCATTTACAGCAAGCAGTAGTCCACATATCTAATGATGCACATCTTTGTTTATAAAAGTTCACTCTGTCAAATATTTATTCACATATGAGCCTTTTAGTTTTCTTCTCCAAAACAGGCAAACGGGGCAACAGTACTTGAATCTCAACCATAAGACACCCGTGACAATGATTGCAAAAAATGTGACTTAAGCAACTTTAGTTGGAAGTAATTTTGCCCAAATTTATCCGAACTAATCAAGACTTGATTCCCAACGAACGAGAGAAGGAATGTGATTGTGATTCAAATATATATTTATATCAAAGCAGGACCCATTCACTCCCAAGAATTTGACTTCCAAGTCAACATGTCCGAAACACAGGTGAAGCCAAGTGCGTAAAATATTATAAGCTTTCCTTTTCAGCCTTCAATAGAGGAAAATAATGGGGAACCACAAGACTCCGTGTAAAAGAACTTCAAGAATGACTGGCTCTCCAAGTTGGTGATTTAGAATGTTGGAATCAAAAGACTATTTGTCCACCAGCTAATAGGAAGCCATCTGTATTTATATATCTTCTTCTCTCACTGTTTTAGCAATGATTCTTTTCCAAGGCTTGGGTAGTCTCATTTGGCAATCCATCATCACATAATCATCTGTCACTGCTATTATGGTTTGTGAGGAATATTTAGATTTTTTTTTAACTCTTATAGTCTCACAAATTCATTGTTCCAACAGCATTGGCCTCCTGGGGTTATTTAAGCACCGTGTTGGATTATTTTCAATGAAATGCAGGTATGCCCTTAGCTTTGTCGAAGTGGGTGCCACATGGATATAGGTTTCCTCAAGGTAGCCAACATTTGATTCCAGTGAGTGATGCCCATGCCTCCTGCAGCTGGGCCTATGACAACATGGCCAATATTTTCAGCCCTCCCATCTTCACAGCATTCTGCGACCGTCACCCGAAGAGAGAGTTCCTGTAAAGTCATAAATTAGGGTTAGAATCTTTGATGGCATACAGTGCATTGGAATTGTGCTACCTTCAATCGACAAACTACACCCAGTTATGCATTTTAGTTTAAATAAAGCAATGCAATTAGAAGGTTGAAAGTTGGGGAATTTGCCCAGAGTCACAAAGCTTTCCCATCTTACCCTTTTCAACAGCTCTGCAATGCTGCCGGGTGTCCTCATTCCTGTGCTCCGTCATCTCTTTGAGCCTTCAATGGGATTTCATTCTGGTGCTCCGTTATTTCATTGGTACAAAAACTGGCAGCCAACAAACATCCCATATTTGTGATGAGAGAGAAAAAGGCTAAAAATCTCCAGATGGCCACTGTGCTGGGGGAGTGGCAAGGCCATACCACAGAGCAACAGGAGAGGGTGGAGAGGGGCACTGCAAGATACCACTGTGTTCTGGTAGCAGATGATAGGGAGATGTTGCAGGAACTCAGTGCTGAAATTACCCACCAATGTGACTTGAAGTAGTCCACAGCTGTAAAGGAAATGCTGCAAAACCATATTTGCAGTGTTTCTTTTGGCACAGATCATCACTTCAGCTTCTCAAGAGCCATGAAAGCCCCACAACATCATGGGAAAATGTGTTTCTGTGTACACCAGTATAATCTTCCATTTTGTCCTAAGCCACTCTGAAAAGCCAGCAATCATGCAATGGAACATGAACCATGAGACTATGATCTTGTACCTACAGAGCTCCATCAAGACCAAAGCATCTTCTCAGAAGCCACTTCTGTAGTACTGGCTTATATTTTTAAAAAAGTAATCAGACTAACTGGTTTTAGTTTAATTAAAATATTTAATGTAGTTTAATATTTTTTGGCTTTATATTATGAATCTGATCACCCCATTCCAAAACCAACATCAGTTTTATCTCTCCAGAAGATAGGTCACCAGTGATTTAAATAAGCCACTCAATCTACATTCCTGATTTCTGGGGTTTGGAGACAGTTAAAGACATAGCAGGAACAAGAAGGATGGAAAGGAAAGGAAAGGAAAGGAAAGGAAAGGAAAGGAAAGGAAAGGAAAGGAAAGGAAAGGAAAGGAAAGGAAGATGTGGAAAAAGTCATTTAAAACTGATTTTTTCAAGCTAGGCTTGAAAAACTGCATGAGAGAAGTAAAAGACAGTTGTCTGAACAAGTCAAATTTTAGAAGCTTCATCTTGGATAAATTTCTTAAACCACTCCAAAATGTGTCTTCAAATGCAAATTCTATTATTTAGGAAAAGTTGTGCTGCTCTAATGTAGACTGAAGTGTATGACCTCAACCTTTCAACAACAATTAGCAACTGGATCTTTATTCTAAGTTAATCGTTGCTCTGTTTGCAAATGAAACATTAATAAGTCTTCAGGCAATCTGCAGATTTATGTATAATATTTTTTTTATCATGGTTCCAATTCTGCTTATTTTTGTGAACGCTTGTTCCAGAAGCTTTGTCCTATCTCCTCTGATCATCTCATCTTCAAGAAAAAGAGGGATAAACAAGAAAAGTAAGCCTTTTCTTATTGTGATATCCCATCCTTTTACTTGTCTCCATGGTGCTGCTGAATAAAGCTTCCTCATGCAGTAACTTCTCATTTGAAGATTATTTTTTTAGATAGGGTTCATTAGATTTCAGCACAAGAGCTTTTAAATGACTGAAAAGCAAAAGGAGTTATATACAGTATTCAGCCTACCGAGTGACATGGTGTTTCAGTTTACATCTTCGATGTCAGCTTTTTCCCCCCGCAGAATTTAATTTGAAAGCCTCTGCTTTTATGCCAAATCCCTGTAGACAGAATCTATTTTCCATCAAGAAAAACTAGTGAAATCACCAAGACTAAGACAGGCAGAATGGAATGCTATAAGCCTATTCTGTTTCAGTTTATTTACTTTTGCTGGTCTGAATTTATCACAGTGCCCTAATTTGGGGGCACCCTGCAACAGGCTGCCTTTAATTTCAGTCTGTGATGCATAGTAAAACCTTCAGTACACACGATCACTGATATAAGCAGTTTA